TCTTGATATACCGTGTACAACATGAGCACTTGAACACTAGAACCCTCTAAGTTGTAAACGAGAAGACAGAAAACAAGTGAAAGGAATGCTATTCCGAACAGTGTCGAATTTGGTACAAAACTATCAGATATTTATATTTTTTAAGTAAGAACAAAATCATCATTATAGTCCTCCAATGTATATAGGAGATTATTAGTAATTGTCCAGTAAGGAAGCTACAGGTAGGGATTCTAGAATATTCTTCCAAAAGATGATTGAATGGAACATCTTCGGCTCTTTCTGAGCTTCTAAGAGGTTCCTCGAGTTCACTTGGGGCCCATCACCACAATTTAGACTTTTTTATATTATCTTAAAAAAGAATTTTTTATACTTTCTATCATTAATTTAATTGTAATTTTATTTTAAACTTATTTTAGGACTTCGACAGATAGATTCAAGTAAGAGTTAATCTTTAGATGAATATTGAAGAATTTTGCGAATTTATATTTATACATATATCATGAGTCAGTTGAGGTTGGACCATCATAGAAAACCCGGAATTCCTAGTATGGGACTCTGCAGTGGGCATCTACGATCCTGGTCGCAGGATTCGAACCTAGGACATATCGGTCTCGCGCGAACTCTTAACCACTAGATCACTTTGATGGCATCCAACGGTGTTAATATCTAACTTCAACCAATTCACGAAATTGCGCCACCGTTCACCATTGTCTTCAGTGAGTAACTGTCTCACAACAGACCTGAATGAACTACACTGGTCATGGTTTCTCACTAGAACGCTAGGACATTCCTCTTGAAGCCAATGACTAGTGGGCTCATGAAATCAACTATTCAATCACAATTATAATATCCATGAAACCCCTTTTTGATAATAATTATATATATTACTAACAAAATAACCAGTAGTAAAATGTTCATCTTCTATTATAATGTAAACTAATACTCAAGCAATTGTACATTTACATGATATTTCCTTAGCTATAAAATAAACAATTAACTTCACCTGAAATATAAGAAATGAGGATATACTGTCATATTTAAAATTTTCTACACAGATTACCATGACGCACAATGCTGACTAGTGTTGGGAATGGTTGGGAGAAAGTTAGGGGCGGCCAAACCAAAACGTGGCATCAGTGCTTGAAGTTACTAACTTCTAGTCTTAGCCAAGTTGGTAGATGTAGACTACTTGGTTGGGTTCCGCGTGACTATCCTAACCAATGGTTGGAGACTTTTGGTGACATGGCTCAGAATCCATCACAATGGCGTCGGTGTATACACTCCCTGTCTTCCCTTAAACTATGAGATTAAAATAACTTTATATCTTTCTTTCTACGAACAAATTCTTTCTTCCTGTACTATACCCCTATACACAATCTTTCTTTTATATATTACGACCATTGAGTTAACTGCTTCTATGAATCCAGTGTTCATTTTGTTGTGCTAATGAGGGATGGCAACTTGGACCGATGCACATATGTGTCTGGTCCTACGTTGAAACTGACTGACTGACATAAATTTGTACTATTTTAACAGATTATACTCTAACTCCCAATATTGTTATCTAATTTGTGAAGAAAAAAACAAACTGAAGTTGTTAAGGATGCTAAACTACACAAAATATTGGCAACATAAAAAGTGATTGATTTATCGATTTGTAAACAAGTATTGAAAACTTATATACATCAACACATCTACTAGCCGGTGTTACCTAGGTGACCCAAAAAGATTGTCAAATTCAATTCTGGATTTAAAATACAATATAGCGTTAAATGATCCACAACTGAATTCAGTTTTCACTTATCATGGATAAAGTTCTTTAGTAGTTTGAGTGAGCATTTTAGGTTAGTTAGTTAGTCAGTCAGTCAGTCAGTAACAACGAAGAATTCCGTATATACCTACATCAATTCAAACTGTCATACCACATTAGCACAGAGATGCAGTTGTCGATTCAAATCCCGTGGTGGTAGAGGTAGTAAGAGTATAAGCAGTAATCGAAAAGATTAGTGTTTGGAGATGTTATTCAAGCAGTTTAATCCAATGAAATAAATTTTGAAAGAGAAAAAAGGGATATGAAGAATTCAGAAGATTAGAATTTAGGAGAACACAAAGAGTGGATGCACCTGAACCATTACAAACGATTTCTAGCCATGTCATTCAAGGTCTCTAACCATCGGTTGCTATCACCTCATGGATCCCAACCAGGTAGTCTACACCCACCAACATAGCTCAGTTCACTTGTCAGTGATTTCATATATTTGTGCAATGTTTTGTTCTGGCCGCCCCTAGCTTTCTTCCATCCTACTCCTACATCATGAAGCATCGCACATCAGGGCATTCGGTGGTTGGGTATACGTAGGACGTTTCCCAGCCAGCTCATCTGATTGGGTTTCACTACTTCATCAATTGATTTGCAATTCTTACCTAGTACCTGTTACCTAACAATTGAATTACTTACTCGGTGGTCCCAGGATATACGAGCAATGCTTCGAAGACACCTATGATCGAATGCTAGTAACCTACGAATGTTCTCTACCCTTACCGTTCATGTTTCACTACCATAAATTAGGACGGAACAAACTGACGCACAGTAAAGTCATCCTTTAGTTTAAACTTTACTAATTAGAATATCAGGGCAAATACATTCTGTGATAAAGTAATCAATTTCTGAAGATTGTAGCTCTGTGTATTTAAGCATACCAGTTAGTCATTTACTTATCACAAACCGCAACTGCTTCAGATTTGATCGTAGTATATTCCTTACTGATGAGTCTTATACTTAGATGAAACAACTCTATAGTGTTATCTATGTTTCCTTGATAGTATTGCCTTAGTATAACAGAACATCTACTATAACATTCAAATGATATAGTTTACCTAATCTAAACAATAGATTACTTTTTGAATGCTTTCATTGTAATTAATAACCACAATTCTATTTATTTCAATTACAGGAAACTTGTAAAACATTGTCTTACCAGTTTCAGCACGTGGATGGTTCTTTTAGGATAATCTAATGATTAAATTCATTCCTGCTAAAAGTATATTTGTATTTGAATAAAACATTATACAATCAAAATGAATGGAATTTTCTTCCAGTTTCAGGGTTCCTAGTAACTGTGTTTATTGTTGATGGGAGAATATATATTCATATCTGTGACATCAACACATCTTAAATCCCTTTTTGTCGGAGAAAAAAGAAGTTATCATATATAGTTCTGATATAAATTAATCGATGTAATTCATAAATGTTGTTCGCCAGTGTACGTGTACTACTTAAGTAGTATATAACACCAATCAGAAGTGAAGAAGATTTGTATTTCAGGTGGATTATTTTGATGTAGTTTTGTTCTCTGAGCTGAAACGGTCGGTTGTGGAGCTTTCATTGTTCTTCTGAACGATATCATTATTACTTCTACCTGACGTTTGTGCTGATGATGTCATTTAGAAGAACAATGAAAAGTGCATAACCAAACCATTCAACTCAGAGAATAAAACTCCATCAAAACGATCCATTTGAACTACAAATCTTCGCCAACTTTTTTCAATCATTTAGTTTAACTATTTGAACATAGATCAAAAGATACAGATTTTTACAAATCATTAACTTTTTTAGTCTTCAAACCATATTTAGAAACTAGGACTTAAAGGAACTTCATTTATATCCAAGTAAAAGTAAATATTTTACAACCAGGAATTATTACAACTAACAATTGTTTGATCACCGGGTGGTGATCAAGGTTATGTATGTCAGGTCCTTCTTAGTGTAGATCACATGCTATCGACCAAGTTGCATTGTGGCCACCAGTCTAGGTGACTCGACATTGCGTGCACTATATTGAGATAAGATGGTGGTTGGAGGTAGTCAACAGGAAACCCTGGACCCGGGTTTCGTGCTACTTGGCACTCGTCAGCAAGGTTTACCTGTAATCTTGAGGGAACTCATGCGCCCTGACTGACTCGATCCCATATCACCCAACTTCACAGTTAGAGACGTTATCACTGAGCTATTCGGGCCACGACCGACCTCCTGTAGGACTGAGATGTATATAAAACTGACTGATCACTGGGTGGTCATCAATGTCATGTATGTCAGGTTCTTAGTGTAGATCGAATCTTATCGACCACATTGCAATGTGGCCACCAGTCTAGCTGACTCGACATTCAGTACACCATGCTGACGAGTGTCAAGTAGCACGAAACCTAGACCTAGGGATTCCTGTTGACTACCTCAAACACAATCTTATTACAACTGACGTCATATACTCGGAAGAATTAAATTTATAAATAAAGGAACAATTCTAAAAAAGTTAGGTTTGACATTTAATCGGATTACTGATGTATACATCAATTTTATTAGTTGAATTCATGAGCCAATTGAAGCTAGATCACCACGGAAAACCTGGAAGCACTGAATGACCGTTTCATTCTATTGTGGGATCCCTCAGCAGTAAGCATCCACGATCACGCTTCAAGAGATTCGAACCAATGAACTATCGGTCTTGCGCGCGAATGCTTAAGCTGTAGGCCAATGAACCGACATCCAACGGTGTTAATATCCAACTTCAACCAATTCACGATATTACGTCACTATTGTCAACTAATAAATTACTATAATATTCACTAAACCCCTCTCTGATTATATTCATCATATGCTCACTAATGACGGTCTCCAAGATGTATTTCCTGGGGTTCTAGTGAGAAGCCATGATCTTTGGTCTGTTGTGAGATAGTAACTCACTGCAGACAGTGGTGGATATGTGGCTCAATTTCGTGGATTAGTTGAAGTTAGATAATAACACCGTTGGATGTCGGCATGCTCAGTGATCTAGAAGTTAGGGGTTTGCGCGCGAGATCGGAGCTCCTGGTTCTGAATCCCACGACGCAGCCATCTAGTATTTCAGGATCTTAACTATTAAAAGTATTTTAATTACCACAACCCCCTCTTATTCTACATTAATAAATTATTCATTATTCAATTACATTCTAATATAAAACACTTCTCGTATATGAATATATTTCACAGCTTAAATGTATCATCATTTTTTCATTGAACAAAAAAACAAACTTCATCAATTGTGTAAGCAGTCTCATTCATAATGAACTCAAATTTGATCCGAATTCAAAATGGCAGAATTTTCCTTAATTGTTCTGAATTTAAAAAACAGTGTTTAAATAATTCCCTAAATAATTAAAACAAAAAAACAGAAGCAACATTGGAGAACTTGTCGGGATATTTAAATGATCAATGACTTTAATGAATAAAGTTAATAAAGAAGGTTATTTCTTCTCAACTTAATCATTTACTTAAATTGTTGTTGTTGTGACTTGAAAGCCGATTTGTTATCACCTGATTTATTCGCTAATTGAAATAGAATTTATACAATGTTGGCACTATGCCAAATCAATGACGTTCGATCAGTATGAGCAGCTTAGCGTCTCTATTGGTTCATTGCTCATTGAGCCCATCCAGTTGAGTCCAGAATGCTAATAACAGCTTCCATTATACGAATTATTTGTTTCAAACATATTTGGTTTATATACTAGCCAAATAGACCGTATTACACCATAAAATAGGAAATAACATTTATACAAGATCAAGCCAAAAAGTGACTGTGAACGTGGGAGACAGTAATCAATAAACCGAACATGACTTGAGAACAGTAAATCGTATGATAATAGTCAATAGGTCAAAATGAAGCCTATAATAAGAAGAATATAGATATGCATAATCTAACTACTGAATAGTTATACTATAAGAATATATGTATGATATTAGCCCCCAAATGTTCTGGTATGGCCGAGAGTGGGGTGGGCCTGCCCTCCCCTCGAAATACTCTCACACAGCCACGCGTATACAGCCTCTGCCAGGGAAGTCCTACTCACTGCCTTCTCTCACCGGGGTGTTGTTTACGAAAATGAGAGGACGAAAAGCGAATGTCCGGCGCTTTAACCGGATCCCAAACCAATGGTGCACATTGGCTTCAGAATCCTGTATGAACAAATGGAGTATGAACCAATTTTTGATCACCGGCTACCATGGGACTACATCTCCTCACGGTGCTCCACTGCTTTATGGGTTAGACCTTTAGGTCAAAGGCTCGGAGTGTGGCCCCCTAAGATAACCACCTGCTTCGGTCTGGACACCCGGACAGTATCACAGCCATATCACAAAAGTGTGGCGCATGTATATTTGGTGCCCTCTTGTACCAATATTTATGTGTTCAAATAAATAAATAAACTAATAGTTCTCAGAAGGTACCCGTAAATTGATCTTCACTAGGATATAACAGTTGTATATATATTCGTATTTATAGTTATTGTGTAAAATATATGAGTCTATAGATGAATAGAGATGATTACATGATAAACTGATGTGAGACTCTTGTTATCAAATGAAGTTACACAATAATGAAGAGATAAGGAAGGAATATAAAGACGAAAATAATTTACGGATCTTGATAATTGTCCGATTGACAGATTTGAAGAAAAAATGACAAACATAAAGATCATAATAATAAAAGCTGTATCATTTGACCAACTATAGACTTATTGATCCATAGGAATCATCTTTTAAAGTAATCTACACAGTCAAAGGAATTAGATCGAAGGAAATTCGAATCAATATTTTAGACATTGCTGAAGCATTGGTAATTCACGAACTTACGCCAGAACTTTGCATACAAAAACGATTCGTCCAACCTCTCATCCTCCCTTGGTCATGTGCATCATAATGAACTGTAAAATTTACTATTCAGTCATTTAAGGACCTCGTTCCATGTTGTATCACACAATACTATTTTGATGAATTGTTTAGGAAGTTTAATAATCATAGAAATCTCAACGAAAATAAAACGTTCATCAGTTGGTTTGCAGCGTTACATATTACTTAATAAAGTAGTATTTTTATGTTTATTGAAGAAATAAACTAAGTATACCTGGTATAAACATAACACGATGAATTACTAGACAAATTGTGTTTAATACACACTTTATTGTTTTAAGTCACAGTAGTAGTGTACCATATCCCTTAACATTATATAACATACCCTTGTGGGCCAGGGTAATTTTACATTAGTTTTCAGGAGAACCAGACACCATCCGGACTTTCACGTGACAACCCAAACAGTACAGCTCAATCCGCTTCACAGGAGAACCAGAGACCGTATAAGCTTTAACGCTACAGTTTGAATAGTACAGCTCAATCCTGTGGCGCAACGACACAGGTACCTAGCATATTCAAACGGTCGAATCGTATGAATGATTTTCATTGTTTGATCTGTTATATTGCAGTGCACAAGAACACAAATGGGGGTATCATCAAATGTAGTTGAATACAAAATTACAGTATCTCTTAGTAAAATCCGAGAACCATACATTGAATACTTAATTTGCAAAATGTCAATTAATCGTCTCAGACTTTATTGTTCTTTCGATTTCACATCAATCATTCATTGGTCTTGTTCTCTTTTCTACAGGCATTTCATTTTTGGTTGATGATACATACTACTTATAAATCTGTCGAGATCAGTAGCATACACCACAGTATTATCAGTTATAAAAACCACTGAATTGTAATATAACTACATGTACATCAGAATACTGACATGAGTGAAGTAATCAGTCTTTTAAAATAATCTATATCATCATAGAGTAGTCAACTTTGATCTTCAATAAAGTCATTGAATGATATCATACACACAATCATTAAATGATTGAATCTTGAATCTAAACTATTTCTTTGAATAGAATTCTATGTAAATAAAAGACTAGAATTGATATCCAATACATGAAATATCCGGCTATTACTTTAATTTCTCGTAATGGTCCAAGTTCAAATGGACTGTTTAGAGAGTTAGTAGAAGAAAATGGTTCGTTACACTGGTCTACTTACCAAAATCTTTCATAGAATTCACTACAATTAAAATGTTTAAGTAAATAAAATCTTAGATAGGGTGATTATTCCAGCCAAATATGGGTGAGTAAATGCTAACGGGTGGGGGGGTTGTGGATAGTTGATAGGAAAACCTGAAATTAGTTTCTGTGCTAGTCAGTATTGATCAGCAAAGTGTATCAATGTGAAAGTTCACTATTATTAGCCTAGAACATTATTTAGTCAGCTTATTCATCTATACCATGATTTGGCTAATGGCGACACGAGAATTATGAATTGTTAACTATAGAACCCGATGATCTATTTACTGTTAACGGTATATGAGTTGTGGAGATTATTAAGTTTTTGATTGAGATCATGAACTGATTGATGTTAGATCACCGTTGGAAACCTGAAAACACTGGACGGCCGTTTCGTTCTATTATAGGAATCTTCAGTAGTACTCATCCACGATCCCGCCACCTCGCGGGATTCGAACCCAGGGCCTTCAGTCTCGCATGCGAATGCTTAACCTACTGGATCACTAAGCCGGCATCCAACTGTGTTAGTGACTAACATTAACCAATCCACGAATTTGAGCGACCATCTTCCATTGTACTGAGGTATATACCTGTGTCTACCCGACATGGATTAACTACACTGGTCACTGAAGACAAATGTTCACATACACATTCTTTATATGTGAACATCATAAATATGATCTGTGAAAGTACAAATTGAAATTTGTTTGGATATTAATCAAATAGTTTCATCTTAACAATAAAATGATTATTCATATGTCTACTTCATTTATATCATTCTATGTACTGGTTATTCATTGATCAAATATATAGTCAAATTTGTAACTGGATTTTTTTTACACAATGTTTAAACGATAATTTTATCTATTTATTTATTTATTTGAACACATAAATATGGGTACAAAAGGGCTCTGAATGCATATGCGCTACACAACTCACTTGAATTGTCTGTGCCCTATGATACTGCACGGGTGCCCAGACCAAAGTAGGTGGTTTTCTGAGGGGGCAACAGTCGGATCCTTCGACCTAAAGGTCTGATCCACAAGGCAGTGGCACAATGTCAGGAGATGCAGTCTTATGGTAGCCGGTGGCCTTCCTTCAGGATTCTGGAACTCATGTGCACCACTGGTTTAGAATAAGGGTTTTCCAGCGCCCCTAAATTGATATTTCGTATTCATCAACCCGATTAAAGCGTTGAACATTTGCTATTCGTCCTTTCATTTTATTCTCACTATATGGATATTGATTAGTTGTTATCTATTATTGTATTCATGATGTATAGACATTTATTTTGGTTGTCTTTCTCATAGGTCTGATTATTGACGGTATTTGTTCCGTCATATTTTGGAACTATGGGATTGTGGGTGCGCACTGCTAAGGAGTCCAATAATAGGATGAAATGACCAGCCAGTGCTTACAGGTTTTTTAAGGTGGTCTAACTTCAATTGACTCATGAACTCAACTATTAAAGTTACTATAATATTCACAAAAACCCCTTCTAATACTAATCAATATATGCTCACCAGTGATTGTCTCTAAGAGTTATTTCCTGGAGTTGTAGTGATAAGCAGTGACCAATGGAGTTCAACTTGGTCTATTGTGAAATAGTAACTCACTGATGACAATGGTGGATGTGTCGCCCAGTTTCATATATTGGTTGACGTTAGACATTAACACTGTTGCATGCCAGCAGGTTCAGTGTTTTAGTGGTTAAGTGTTCGCGCACAAGATTGGTCGATCCTGTGTTTGAATCGCATAAAGCGGGATCGTGGATGTGTACTGCCAAGGTGAAGTCCCATATTAGGACGAAACGGTCATCCAATACTTCCAGATTTTCCATGTTTGCCTAGCTTCAATTGAATAATGAATTCAACTATTAAATTGAAATTCATGTTGTTTCACAATTCTTTAGTTAAAGTGATCAGGATTTTTTATAGTTTTTTAAGAGTACATTTAGAAGATAATAGATAAAACGGTTATGTTAATAATTAATTACTGACCTCTCTTTTGGTGGATTATAATCTGTAGAATACATAAAGACAGATACAATCTTCACAATAGATGAAGAACCATTCGTAAATCAATTAAATTGCTTATGATTAGTAAAGAAAGTCAAGTATAACGTAAATGAAGCTACTCAAACTATTGATCATGAGATATATGTTTATGGATTGGATAGATTTCCAATCAACAAAATGTATATCTCACAAGTTGTATTCACCGTGAAACATGAAGGATTTCTAATAACACCGCAGTAGTAGCACTGCAATTCCATAAAATCATTATTAATATCACAGTGCTTCTAGGTTTACGATGGTAGTTTAATATTAATTGTGTTGTGTAAATCCAGAAAAACTTGAAAAAATAAGCCAAGAAAGGCTCTGAAGACATTGAGAAGCATCTTATCTAATCAGCGTTCAAAAGACGTTTTGCCGGAAATATCTAGAAGGTAAAAAGTCACATGTCAAGTTTTTGATTGGATGATTACTTATACTGCTGTTATGTTTAGTGGCGTTCCAGAATTTCCCGAAAACCCAAAGCCATCTTAAATACTATAAAAACCTTAGATTTTCTGTACATAAACAAACCTTTGAAGTAAAACCTTTCCTTCTATATTTCGCGCCTTTTCTCTCATGTTCAAGTCGTTGTGTAGATTCAGCCTGACGGTTATTAGAAGAGCTTAGTAAACCAAATTTAGCGTTCAATTAAAAGACTTATCTAATTGATACCTGATCCCAATCAAAAACTTAACAATCTTCACAACCTCATACGGATGACATCCTATCAGTTCTATAATTGTTATATTGCTACAGTCACATAATAAAACATTATGTCCAAGTTGTACTAGAAAGTTTCATATAAAGTAAGTATTAGTCTGATATCTCAATGAGTAGAATGTTGTTTTTCTGATGTTTCGTGACTTAATCTAAATCACTTCATCAGTAGTATATTGTATTTAAACTTGTATTAATTTTATTTCGGTTATTTATTCATTCTGAAGAAATGAATTAGATTAAGTTACGAAATATCCATAATACAATTTTCTACTCATTGAGATATTGCATTGTTGCATTTAATCATGTAAAAAGTAACTTAATTTATTGAGTTCTTTGTTCTAACTATACAAAATTACATACCTTTTTCATTCATCCAATTTTTGTCTGTATAATAAATTAATGTAGAAAGAGTCGAAATTGATAACACGATGGATTGAAATAGTAAATTAAGTTGTTGACAATTTATTAACTTGATAGTTGAGTTCGTGATTCAGTTGAAGCTGGACCATTATGGAAAACCTGGAAGCACTGGAAGAACGTTTCATCCTAGTGTGGGACTCCTCAGAAGTGTGCATCCATGATCCCGCCTTGCGAGGTTTCAACCCAGCATCTGTAGGTGTCACACGCAAATGCTTAATCACTAGACCGTTGAACTTACCGGAATCCAACAGTGTTAATATCTAACTTCAAATAATCCACGAAATTGCGCCACCGTCCATCATTGTCATCAAACCTATTTGAACTCCACTGGTAACGGCCATCCAGTGCTTGCAGGTTTTCCATGTTCGTCTACCTTTAATTGACTCATGAACGTAACTATTAAGTCGCTTTAATATCCACAAAACGCCTTCTGATATGAGAACTGTTAAACCAAACTACTAGTGTATATATTACTCAATTCGATTACTGACCACTTACATAAGTTGATAATTTCTGTAGTGTCAAAACACAAACAAGGAACATTAGAATAAATTGACCTAAATATTGTTCACTTAGTGATTAACTTGATATAACATTGTATTACTCGTGACACTTTACTCTTAAGTGAAATTAATAAACCTACTTAGTTTCTGATCTTTATTTTCACCACACCGGAATCAAACCCAGGATTAAGGTCATGAACGTACAATGTTGAGAAGTTTCATCCTAGAACAAAATGGACGTCCAGTGTTTTCGGGTTTTCATTGGTGGTGCAACTTTGATCGGTTAATGTTTTGAACGAAAAAACTCATAACCCAAGAACAAAGGATATACTTTCAAAATCAATATTTTTTATGGAAAAACTTACTTTCTTTGAAGGAAACTAAAAAGTTATGTTTAATGGAAAAACTGCACTAGAAAAACTAAGTAGTATTCAAGGAAGTAATGGCGAGACTATAATTTATAGACGAACCAATCAGATTTACGATAACAGGTCTTGAATTTTGGCGCGAAAATCATTCATCCATTTGGATAAATACAGTTTTGGCATTATAGCTGATATCAGTTCATGACGAAAACTCTAAATCTAATTCTTAACCTCAACCATAAACTGTAAATCATAATTTTAATTCTCCACAATGGTTTATAACCTTCATTTGATCCTAGTTATTAGGTGGGTACTCTGAAGATCAGTTTAGCGTCGTTCAAAGTTCGTTCATAAATTGTAGTTTCATCAAGTTTCACAGCAGTTTCAGATCAGAAACCAACTTTTCTTACATACGAATATATAGTCTCCTATTGAATTGACACTGGTAGCATAACAGGATGCCCAAAATAGATTGAAAACAAAATTTGAGATTAATTTATCAGAATTATGGAAAACTGTTTGTGAAGGGATCAATGTTAAACTACCATTGGAAACCTAGAAGCACTGGATGACTGTTCCGTCCTAGTATGGGACTCCTCAGATGTGCAAATGGACGGTCCCACATACGGGATCCGAGTCCAGGACTTTCGGTCTCATGTGCGGAAAATTAACTTTTAGACTATCAAGTCGGCATCCAACAGTGTTAAGCAGTTCACGATATTATGTGAACGTCCACCATTGTCTTCAGCGAGAAACGGCTTCACGTTGATCTCGCGTGCAAAGTCGTGGATGCGCCCTGCTGAGGAGTTCCATACTAGGACAAAACGGCCGTCCAATACTTCTAGGTCTTCAATGGTTCTCTAACAATGATCCATTCATGAACTTAATCAAACGTTAACAATCTCCGCAACTCTATGCTGACAAATGTGGTTGTCTAGATAAGTGCTCGATTGAACATAGTAGTCATTGTCAGCTAGTTGGTTTTCTTTATATTAAGGAAAATCATTTTAGATCATTGTTATTTTTAATATCGATTCGATCGTTTTTGAAAACAAAATTTACTGATGTTGCAGATTTAATTAAATATTTATTAACTTCCTCATGATGTTTAGGAAGACGTTTGTGTAGCCTAGATATATTTAAGCTGGAGTCATGATTATAAAAGACGAAAAAAGGATACACAAGGCATCTCAATTGATATAACTTAATGTGCAGACAGAACCCTCAGGTGAAGTCGGGGGAGTTAACTAAAGCATTTTAAAATGTTGATTGGTTTACAATATATTTTGATTATGCGTAATTTAAGAGTCACCAGATCTGTCTGTCAGAAAACCTGATGACAACCATCTCCTCCTCGCTCACTCACTCACCACTCAGCACACATCACCATATATAACAGTAGTTCGATACAGTGAGACGATGTTGTCTGTGAGTGGGACTAAGAAGTGAACTGTGACTGCTCGGTGTTGTAAATTGGACGAAGCGGAACAGAGTGAGAATGTGGAGAGTGTGACGTAGTGGTTTTGGTGTTGTTGATGATGATTGGCTGTGATTGTGTGATCGTGGTAGTATGTTTGCGATCGTTGGGATTGTGTATGATGTGATAGTGCGATGGGGTTGATTGTGAACAGGTATGTTCGGGGTGGGATTCGATCCAACGCCGGTTTCTCACTGGTGCCTAAATCATACGCTTTAGACTGCCCGACCACAAGAAAAATGATTAAGATAGCACAACACTCATCCATCAATATCAACATTTCATTTCACCCTCATTCAGACACACTGTATTATTCAGGACAACACAACACAATATATAATACACACAGACACACACGTGCACATGCACTATCAACATCGAACCAGATCAGTCGGTCAGTTGTACCATGGAGGTAGGGTAAAACTACAGTACCAATTCATAATGCTTTGTTTCAGTTATTAGTTAAAGTACTTTCTCCTCCTGATTAAACTTAGAACCAAGTAGTATTTTGCAATATACGGAGAAAAGAATTGCACAACCTTTTGTAATACAGCACTCGTTATACAAATTTGTATATAGACATAATGATTCGGACAATCAAGTGAATTTCATGTCTATTGTTACTTACGACTATTAACCTCAACAGTGGTCGTGTGTGCTGAAATCGAACAAAAACATCAAGTTGACTTACTGTCAAAATAAAATTCAATCCGATGATCATGTCAGTCAAGTTAATTTACACTTAAACAGTTTATTATTCCCTATCATTACACTTATTTCATGAATCACTTTCAATTTCGTCCCGTAAATACGAACAGTAAACACAGACTGATAATCATAATCAGGACTGCCGAAACAACATTTCGTTGCCACTAGGAAGGTTCAGTAGCCCTAGTGAATTATATTCAGTTAATCTAATTTTCCGTTACTACACTATACTATACTCGCAGTTCTACTGTAGGGAGCTGAAACTTAGATAACTACAACAACCACTATCAAGAGTGTACAGGTATTTATAAACAGCTGTCTACGCAGGATACTCAACATTCATTGGCCGGGTACCATCAGCAACAGCCTTCTGTGGGAGAGAACAAGCCAGCTTCCAGCTGAAGAGGAAATTAAGAAAAGACGTTGGAAGTGGATAGGACATACATTACAGAAATCATCAAACTGCATCACGAGGCAAGCCCTAACTTGGAATCCTGAAGGAAAGCGGAAAAGAGGGAGACCAAAGAACATATTACTTCGGGAAATAGAATCAGATAAGAAAAGGATGAGTAGCAACTGGAAAGGGCTGGAAAGGATTGTCCAGAACAGGGTTGGATGGAGAGTGGTCTAAATCTGATGTTAATCCAATACTACTATCATTCCAGTTCATCCAGTAGTATCCATTCAAACAAATCATGCATTTATTGTTTATTACTAATATATATGCTAATCAATTCAATTATTGAAGTAAACATTGAAGAATATTAGTATTCTAGTTCTTATTGAAAACATTTGTCTTCTATCATCGATCATAAACACAACGAATATAATAGTGATGTCAAAATATTAGTTAAAAGTAATATGTTTATCAATTTGTGAGTAACATCGGTCACATTTGTACATTGTTGTACAACAGAGGTTATTGTTGTTATAGTAAGTGGAATATTCATGTGTAGACTCACTTGGAACTGCATTAGCTGAAATCAATCAATCAATCAATCAATCAATACATCGATAACAATCAGTCACTAAATATGCAAAATGATTTCCAAGGAAAAGAAATATATAGGGTGGAGTAACTGAACAATGTTGTAATCAAGTGTCTAGATGGTTTCAAAACTAATTAGTGTCAAATGATCCAATCAACATGTGAAGTATAAAACCATGTTCATTGATAGCGTAACATAGAATCGAAACGGGGCACAAAATTAACATTAATACAACTTTGAAAACGTTGTATAGGAATTGTCAAGGACGAATTCGCAAGTTTATCGAGGCCTTGGCTATTCGTAAATGAACCCCTATTCACCCATATTATGTATACAAAAACAATTTGTCATAACCTTGACTTTACCCTGGTAAACCATAAGTCATTCTATGGCCTAAGATAACGCGACAAATTCTTATCCTTTCTATACGATATAAAATGTTTCTCTTCCCTTTATTAGTTTGTTTATCCGAACCTTCATTCATTTGACCTTTATTAATCTGCATATAAAATAGCTTGACAAGTATATGTGTGATCGGATTGTTCGAAATATATAGCACAAATACATCACATTTTCATCAGATCAACTCCGTATTCTCATTGTTCTATCGAAAAGAACTATCTCTCTATATGATGAAATTATTCTCCGTGCTAATTATGAAATTGAAGTTTATAAAAAGCTTGTGACTTAAGTCTCTGTCGAGGTAATCCGTACATAATGCATATATGCCAACAAGGGACTGATCAATTGCAGCGCTAAACATCAATGGGAAGATAGAAGTAAAACAACATCGAATGAATTTCAACTTCACCCCATTCCACAAACAAGTGACTATCAGGACTCAGTAACTAAGTGGATTATACGATTCCGTTTGAAGCGAACAGTACTGAGTTCGAGTACCAGAGTGAACATCAACTCTGAGATGTAGGTACATTCATGTAACAAGTCCTAATTAGGAGGATAAGCAGATCCTGGTTTTCGCTGTTAGCTATTATCCATCTTCACTTATAAAGTTCATGACATAAGTTTATATCGAGTCAATATGCACATATACCAACAAGAAAGAGAGAGAGAGACTAATCAATTACAATCCTAAATAACAATGGGAAGATACTAAATTTCTCAATGAGAATCAATAAAGAACTTACCATTTGTTATAATTGAACAAATACATATACAGAATACACTAATGATCATTCTATTCATGATTTCTTAGAATAAGTAATATGAGTATAAACTCTTAATCTATACGAATAGATGATTATGTAATAAAGTTTATTTAAACAATGTTCTATTTACATTGAATAGAACAGTTGAAATGAGACTATTTTCATTTATTGTACTTCATCAATAAACAAGATCAGATTTCTTGTAAGCAATGATGGCAATATCGAGGCATACGCACAATATGCACACACAGACTGATCAATTGCCGTCTTAAGCCTCAATGGGAAGATACAAGTCGAATAATACTAAGTGAAGATCAGATTTCATTTAGAAAAAATGAATCATGAAGAAAATATGCAAAAAAAGAAAAGAAAAAGGAGAGATGAGTAAATATTTTTCTTTCTATGTAACTAGACGAAAATGTTGTTTACATTTTTTTTGTTTTTTATGAATTCTAAATGTTTGTTTTCATTGAATATTTGTATTCCTGTAAATGGATGATCATTTAATCTGTATACATATGTTTGTATGAATTAGTTACTCCTGTGAGTCCCAATGGAGTATAGGCCGACGATCAGCATTCTCCAACCTACTCTGTCCTGCGCCTTCTTTGATAGTTCTATCCAACTGTTGTTCATTCTTTTCATGTCCGACTCCATTTCTTGGTGTAATGTGTTCTTTAGTCTTTCTCTCCTCTTTTGACATTGAGGAGTCCAAGTGAGAGCTTGCTTTGTGACTTTGTGATTTCCTCAATGTGTATTCTATGCACTTATAGCACTTCTTCGCGATTTCCTCCTCCGTTGTAATCTGGTTTATTCTCTCACACAGTAGGTTGTTGTTGCTGATAGTGTTTGGTCAACGGATACGAAGTATTTTACGTAGACAACTGTTAATAAACACTTTTATCTTCTGTATGATGACTTTCGTAGTTCTCCAAGTTTCCGCCCCATACAGTCGAACTGTCTTGACATTTGTATTGAAAACTCTGATTTTTGTGTTGGTTGATAGTTGTTTCGAGCTCCAGATGTTCCTCAATTGTAAATATGCAGCTCTTGCTTTGCCGATTCGCGCTTTAACATCTACATCCGATCCACTGTGTTCATCAATGATACTGCCCAGATATGTAAAGGTTGTTACATCCTCCAAAGCTTCTTCGTCAAGTGTGATTTGATTGGTGCGTGTTGCGTTGTATTGGAGAACCTTGCTTTTCCCTTTGTTTATGTTGTGACCCAGTGCTGTTGAGGTCACTGGAACACCAGTCGTCTTCTCCCACATTTGTTGTTGCGTCTGCGATTGGAGAGCCAGATAATCTACGAAGTATAGATCTTCCAGCTCTATCCTAGCTGTCCACTGTATCCCCAGATACCGACGTCTTCCTAATCCAATCGGTCATCAGGAGAAATAGAAAGAGTAAGAGTAAGCAACCTTGCATGACATCGGTTTTTACTTAGAACAAGTCTGTATTTGTATATTATAGTTTTTATATCAAATGCATTTGAATACAGTGTTTTTAAAGACATGACTAACCAACATTTAGTTTATTTATCCCTGTATTCTTTGGTATATACATCGTCGTAATTTGAAATTGTAGTGATTATATCATAGTTTAAACGTGAATAATTCGTCTTCTTGTTTGATCACTTTAATTACTATTCAATGAATTGCATTTAGTCAAAGCAAAAGGCTCTATTATGTAATCATTCTACATAGGATCGCTATTTATAATGATTACATTGCCCGGAAATTTACCTAGGGCTGTTTCATAAAAATTACTAGTTTATTTTGCATAACAAAATACATAATATACAATTTCTAAAACACATTTCTTTCTAATAGTTGAATTCATGAGTCAATTGAAGCTAGAACACCATGGAAAACCAGGACGTACTGGACGGCCGTTTCGTCCTATTGTGGGACACCTCAGCAGTGCGCGATTCGAACACAGGACCTATCGGTTTCATGCACAAACCACTGCAAACCAGTAGATATTGGGTAACTCTTTCATCTTAGATTGAAACTGCATAGCAGTAAGCTCCAGGAAAAATACTCAGGTTCTATAGCTCTAATGGACAGTGTAATAATGTTAAGCCAATGAGTCACAAAAAATGGTCCACATTTCTAGCTTCAAAGTTAACGGTATCAAGGAAAGATAATGATAAATTAAAACAAGACTTTCTCTATATTGTACATGATAAGTGGGAAAATCCAAATACCTAATCTAAATCCGAATGACTTGGTCTTGTATTACAAAAAGGTATTTTTATATTCCACTATAATTCTTTGTTCGCTGTTGTCTTCAGTGGTAATAATAACTCACGTTACTTTTTTGCACTCTCCATATGTCATAGAAGTTTCCTTACTGCAAAGTCACAATCCCACTACGTATGATTATATGTGTATGCATGATTTCGTATTGTTATTCCTGTAATAAGAATCGTAGTGAGACTGTGATATGTGCTACTTATATTGACATAAGTAGTATATGATGTGAATTGTAAACAGAAAGTCTGGCAGCAGTGAGACAAGAGGATCGAACGGTAAAGAATGGAAACAAGATGCTATTTGTATGAAAATGCAAGAACAATTACGTCTGAGTCATTTTGAGACAGTTTGTGGACATTTTGCAAGTTAAGAATTTACTTTATGATTGTTAGATTTTATTAACAAGTCCTGTAATTTTGTGTCAAATACATTCGATTGTCACCATCCGTGTTCTGTTCACTACAATACCACTGAACAGCTGAAGCTTCAATAACATCTGCAATTTTTTCAGCCAGTGTTACTGGTGATTTTATTATCCATCCAACCATCATGACTTTTCTTAGTCTAAATCGGGATCGAGCGAACTTCTTCCTCGAACATGAATAACATCGAGAGAAAATCTCATCACGGTAGTCTGCACACGGTACAACAGTCACAAATAAAGTCTTTAGTAGTCCCATTTGTTATAACCTCTCAATGATCACGTCTTCTATAAGTTCCACTCCAAACCGATAGTACATGAGCATTAGGAACCGAAATTGGCGTCGTGACTTTGAAAGCCCTCAAACCCCTTTGATTGACTCGTCCATAATTTATAGTCTCGTCACAATAGCTTATTTCAGTAGTTGAAATCATGAGTCAATTGAAACTAGACCACCATGAAAAACCTAGAAGCACTGGACGGCTATATCGTCCTATTGTGTGACTCCTCAGCAATGCTCATCCACGATCCTGCCTCGCGAGATTCGAACCCAGGACATGTCGTGGTGCATATAACTGCGGTCAGGCATATAATGTATTTCAGTAGAAGGTCGATGAGGAAAGAACGGGAACGGAACATAATTGGTATGAAAACGCATGAACAATGAAATATGAGACAATGGATTGATGTTTGCAACAGGAACAGTTAACTTTGATATGATGGATTGATATTTTGGAAATTAACGATTTACTATATAGTTCTCAGATTTTATTTAAGATGTTCTGTAATTTTGTGCTCAAATACATTCGATTGTCCCCACTGCTGTTTTGTTCACTTTATGACTATAATTTATGGACGGACATTGAGCGACGCCAGATTGACCTTGAAAGTGTCCACCTAATAACTGGGACCAAATGAGTGTTATTAACTAATGTGAGGAAGTGAAATTATGATTTACAGTTGATGATTAAGGTTAGAAATTTGATTTAGAAATTTCATCACGAAATGACATCAGCTATAACGTCAAAACTCTATCTATCCGAATGAATGAGTGAATTTCGCGCCGAAATCCGACACCTGTTATCTTATATCTGATTGGTTCGTCCATAAATTATAGTCTCAACGGAATCCTTTTAATTCATACGAAATAATCCTATACATGTATCAATTGTATTCTTCATGAGTTCGGTCATTCTGCATAAAGAAATTCGTCTATGAGACGTCAACGAATCTTATAAACATTGGCAACTTGTTTGCTGTACCTTGAGTGAATGTTGACATAACACTGAAAACTTTTCTTGTATATTGGAATTTCTTGCTTAGTTAGAATGTTCTTCGAGATTTGTCCGTACATTTAGTGAATACTTTAATTATTGATATACAATAAGGTGAACATTGAGTAATATTATTTCCTTCTTTATTATTGTTACAAATAAATATTGAAACATACATTACATTGAGAAATAGAAGCAGATATGAAAAGGATTGCACAGGGCAGGGTTAGATGGAGAATATTGATGAGCGACCTATGCTCCTCCACGAAGAGTATTAGGCTTAAGTAAGTAAGCTATCCAATTTTGATAATTCAATTGTGAACTATCAATATGTTGTTTGGAAATACACAAATAGGAATATTAAATTCTTCAAAATATAGAAGTTACTATTACTTCTAAACAAGGAGAACACACCGAATGTATCCGTGCAAAGATGGTTGTAAAGTTCCAACGTGAACAGTATAAAATTTTAAAAATTTATAAGTAGTGTTGAATTTTATTTGAAAACTATTCTGTACATATCAGATTTATTTCACTTGACCTAATTTCCATATCACTGAGGGCTGAAAAGAGACTTTTTTTTTCCTTTTTACAAGACACCATTACACACGATTATATTTCAATGAGAACATTAGACGATTAATTGGGCCGGCATATAACGGTGTTAATGTCTAGAGGTTAAGCGTTTGCGTGTGAGATCGAAGTTCCTGAGTTAGAATCCCTCATGCGAGATCGTGCACACGCACCGCTGAGGAGTCCCATACTGGGACGAAACTGCCGTCTAATACTGGACCAGTCAGTTCTCCCTCTCCGAACGCTCTCACATAGTCAAGCGTATACAGTCACTGTCAAGAAAGTCCTAGTCACTGCCTTCTCACAGCATTTCTGTTGTTTACGAAATTGAGGGGATGAAAAGCGAATGTTCGACGCCTTAACTGGGTTGGTGGACCCTTCTTGTCCATCTAGGAGAGCTAGAAAACCCTCATTTCAAATCAATATTGCACATGGGTTCCAGGAGCCTGGAGAAAAAAATGGAGTATGAACCAAACGTTGGTCACTGACGTTGTTCCACTGCCATTTGGATTAGACCTTTAGGTCGAAGGCCTGTGTTATGGCCTTCTATGCAAATCACCTGCTTCGGTTTGGGCACCCGAGGAGTAACACAGCTC